CATAAGGATTCATTCCATCTGTACATAGTCCAAGCCTAAGATTTCTAGGCTTTTTGCCAAATTCAAAAATGATTGATCAATTCCTTTTTATTGTGGAGAATTGACTAGATGTCGAAGTATGCCATCAATTTTTCTCTTATCAGCATGCCATCTCAAGTTCTTGGCCTCATTTGGATTAGCAAACAAACGCTTAAACCTTGATATTATAGAAGATACCACAACACCCTCACCAAAGGCCTCTTAGTGATAGAGTCATTACTACTGTTGTCTCTTTTTGTTTATAACATGATGCCTTACAGATTAGATAAGAATCCAACACTTCATAATCATTTCTATACAATATACAGTCATTAGGGCAAGCATGTATCTTTTGGTACCCTAAACCCATTGGACATAATATTTTTTTCCTAATAGTAACTACTTGAAAGTGTATTACCCTATGGAAGCATCTCTTTCAATAATTTAAGCAACTCTGTGAAACTTTTATTGCTCTACCCATATCTCGCTTTCAAGTTAATAACTTCAACATTACTGTTACTCATGTATATTTTGTACACCCTATATATAAAGGTGTTTCTGAATCATTCCACAAGCTATCATATTTGTGCACCTTCTCAACAGCTTCAATGCCAATATCACATAACATATCCTCTCTTTGATCACCAAAATCCATATCATCATTTTCAACTTGTGGTATACTATGTTTTCTAGATTCACTATGTAATATCCACTGTCTGTACACTTTATAGAATTCGAAACAAATTAGGTGATCCTTAATCTCTATAGAACGTCATCGCAACCCATTCAAGCACTTAACACAATGACAATAGAATAATCCTTTATTATTAGGAACATTATTCTTTGTAAATTTCAAAAATTGATCTACCCCCCTCTTATATTCATCACTTATTCGTAAAGCATCTATCCAACTACGGTTTATCATTACCTATTTCAAATAACAATTAAAAATTTGGCATCACAACAATTTAGAAAGCAAGATTTCTGAGGCACTAAATCCCTCAATTCAATCAATTTAAGCACATTTCAATTGAATTGTTAATAATTAGGATATATTGTTTTGTTTTAACCTTACTAAGACATCAATTTCAACACATTTTAACAAATCTTAATTATTCAACTTCAACAAATAAATTATAATAAACTTAAAGAAATCAATATCATGGAAATTAAAAAAAAATAGCAACATAACAACTTATAAATTGAGATTCCCTGAGCATTAAACACTCAATTTCATCAATTCAAGCAAATCTCAATTGACATTTTAACAATTATGAACTCTAATCAATAATCAATAATATAATTTATGATAATGGGGTTCAAAATTTATCCCAACAAAAAATTTAAAATGGAAAAAATAGTAAAAAAAGGACATAACAAAATAGCAAAAAAAAAATCTGAAGCTAAAAAATAATTAAATAAAAAAACTAAAAAATTGCCAAAAACATTGGACATAAAAAATAGCAAAAAAAAATTCTGAAGCTGAAAAATAATTAAATAAAAAAATCTAAAAATTGCAAAAAAAAAAAGAATATAAAAAAATAGCCAAAAAAATTTTGGAGCTAAAAAATAATTAAATAAAAAAGCCCAAAACTGCAAAAAAAAAAAAACCTATAGTAGGGCTGAGACGAGCTACGGGCAACACTAGCTGGAGGCAACGACAGTTAGGCACTCAGGTGGGGAGATAGTAATTGTGGTCTTGAAGTTGGGGGCAATGGTAGCTCAGAGCTAGGGGTGAGGAGGTGGTAGCTAGGGGAGAAGGAAGCTAGGGGAGATGAACCCAAACTATGGGAAGGAAGAAGAAATGCGAGCTAAGGGAGCAATGGTGCTAAGGGAAAATAACTATGGAAAGAGTTGAGGGAGCAATGGAGTTGAGGAAAAATATTTATGGGAAGAGCTGAGGGCAAGAAAGCTACATGCAAGTTGAGAGATTTTGAAAAGTTGAGGGGGAAAGGAGAAATAATACTATCTTTGGCAACAGTGCCCTCAAGCTTATTGCCAAAGACAGGATCTTTGGGCACCCGTCACCAAATGTTGTTTGAATTCAAACATTTTGAAATTTAAAATTCAAAATGTATGAATTTAGACATAAATAAAAAATAAAATTTATAAAATTATTTTTTAATTAAAATCTGTTTAAAATTTATTTATTTTTTAATCTTTAATTATTTTTCTAAATTTAAAAATAATAAATATGTCTTATTTTAGGCACAATTAAATTTTAATTATAGAAAATATATTAATTATCCAATATTATTAAATAAAATTATTTTATTCAATATATTAATTCGTAGATATTACATTATTAATTATGAATATAATAAATAATTTTTGTTATTTATAATTATCTTTTAAATAAAATTCATTTAATATTTGATAATTTAGACACAATTATTTTTCCTTAAATATTAGTTTATGAAAAAATATAATAAATAATTTATTTTAATTATAATTATTTTTTAAATGAATTACATTTATGTAATAAAAATTTAAGTAATAATTTATTTTAATGATTTAATTAAATTATTTGATTTAAATCATTATTTTTCATAAGCATTTATGCTGACAGTTTATAATAGACCTATCGCTATAAATGATCTACTTTTCAACTTAATTACAAATAAGCCACTAACTCAAATATTACCATATTTTTTTATGAACTGTGGTAGAAAATATATCGTTAAAATTCTATTTTGCACTAGTGATCCTATCAGCATAGATCACTCCCTTAGTAACATAGTACATAGTTAATAGTAACCTTTAAGTATCTTAAGATCCTCTTTACAACCTTTCAATGTCCTTCACCGGGGTTAGATTATGGTAGCTGTTCACAAGTCCTATGGCATAGCAGATGTTTGGTCTTGTACATATCATTACGTACATCAAACTCCTGACTACACTAATATATGGAACTATTTCCATTTTCTTTTTTGGCTCTCCTAATTTTAGGACTCATATCAAGACTAAACTTCACACCTAAAGATACTAGGTATCCATGGAGTTATAGTCTTTTAATATTAAAACACTTAAGAATTTTCCATATATAATTCTCTTGTGAAAGAGAAAGGAGCTTCTTAAAGTGATTTCTTTGGATTTTAACTCCAACAATGTATTTTGCTTCACTCATGTCCTTCATTTCAAAATTTAATAAAAGTCATTCTTTAGTAGTGATTATCAAATCCAGATTATTTCTGGCTAGTAGAATATAATCCACATAAAAAGATAATATTATGAAGTTCTTGTTAAACCTCTTGATGTAAACACAGTGGTCTTCCTCAATCATTTAAAAGTCAAATGAGGTTATTGCTTTGTGAAACCTTAAATACCACTGTCTGGATGATTGTTTTAGTCCATAAATTGTTCTATTTAATTTACATACTTTATCTTATTTTCCTTTTTCAATGAAACCTAATGGTTGTTGCATATAGATTTCTTCATCTAGGTCACCATTTAGAAAAGTGATTTTTACATCCATTTGGTACAACTTTAGGTCCAAACTATTTACTATTACTAGAATTAGTCTGATAGAATTGAAGCATACAACATGAGAAAACATATCCTCATAATCTATTCCCTCTTATTGTGTATACCCTTTCACCACTAAGTGAGCCTTATATTTATCAATTGACCCATCTACTTTTATTTTGATTTTGGGAACCTACTTGTTCCTAATAGCCTTTTGGCCATGAGGTAAATTAACTAATTTTCATATTTGGTTGGTCCTTATAAAATCCATTTCTTCATCCATTGCTTTATTCCATTTATCCTTAGCAGGTCCTTATAAAGCTTCATTTACAGAATGTGCTCATCATCATCTTGAAGAGTTACTATCAATGCTTCACCCTCAATTTGGAAGTGTTTTTTTGGCACACTCTTTATTACTTTTTTAAAGTAGGATCCCTTGTGGATTTTGATTCTTTTTGGGTCATTTAAAGACTTTTTAGAGCTCCTACTTATATCAACATTTTGTGATGATTCAGGCCTATCTATTTGTTTATATTATGTTGTTCTTGTGTCTTGTAAAGAGATACAGTTTGATCAACTTCTCCCTTGCTAGGAAGCTCATTTTCTAAAAATTTAATATTCCTAGATTCAATTTCAGTTATAGTTCCATCATTGCTTTCACTAATGAAAACCTAACCCTTTAATTGCTTAAAGTATCTTATAAAGTTATATTTCTTCCCACTTAGACTTAATTTTTCATATTTATAGGAATCATCATGGACATATGTAGTTAACCCCCATGGTCTTAGGATATTTAAATTCAATTTACATTTTGTCCATAACTCATAGGGCGTGGAAGTAACTGATTTTGAGGGCATATGATTAAGTATAAAGGCTACAATTAGCAAAGCATCCCCCCAATATGAGATTGGAAGATTTGCTTGTGCCATCATTAACCTAACCATGTCTAAAAGAGTCTTATTTCTTCTTTCAGCAACTCCATTTTGTTGTAGAGTGCTAGGAATAGTTAGTTGTCTAATTATTCCTTTTTTTTCACAGAGTTCTTTAAATTGATCAAACAAGTATTCATGTACTCAGTCAATTCACAGTGCTTTAATTTTACTGTCTATTTGATTTTTAACCTCATTAGTGTATCATCTAAAGTACTTAAGAGCTTTAGACTTTTGTGACATGAAATATACATGACCAAAATGTGAAAAATCATCGATAAAGGTAATAAAATACTAAGTTTTGTGTTTTGCCCTTATACTCATAGGACTACATATATCAAAATGGATTAATTGTAATGATTTTCAGCCTTAACACCTTTACCAAAAGGTTTTCTCATTGCTTTACCAGCTAGACAATTTTCACACAAGGACATTTTCATGTTTGTAATTGGACCTAGCATCCCTTCTTTAGCTAGTTTAATCATTCTTTTTTTATCAATATGCCCTAGTCTAGCATGCCAGATATTCATATCAATGTTATTAGAAGAGGTGGTAAAGTAATCATGAAAATAAACTTTGTCAACAATATCCATGATAAAGAACCTTTTTGAAAGAAAAGGCACAACCATAAAAGGTTGAATTGTAATAATGTCAACAACCTTGTTATGAAAATTAATTACAAACCTAAATTCTAAAAGGCAAGCAATTGAAGTTAAGTTCCGTTGGATGTTCGATGCATGTAACACATCATGGATGATTAAGGTCTTGCTACCTCGCAAGATCAACTTGCAAATTCCTATGCCTTTTACCACAATCCTCTTGTTGTTTCCAACAGAAAGCCACTTGCTATGATTCGGCAATTGACAGCACTCTACGAAAGATCCACAATCCTTGCTTATGTGGTTTGTGGAGCCTGAGTCTAGAATCCAAGAGGAGGAAATAGTTTCCGTAAGAAAAGCATTACTGGAAACATAAGAAATATGTGAATTCACTTAATTCACAAGTACCTGATCACATCTACTTTGCTTATGACAATCCTTTGCAAAATGGCCCATATTTTAAGAGGCAAAACATTTGACCTTTTTAAGGTTAATTCTCTTTTTCCTGCTCTTCTTTCTCTTCTTCTTGAAAAGTTGTTTGTCCTTCTTTACCTTAGGGCTACTCTTGTTACCCTTCTTTTCTTGCTTCTTACCCCTATTAGGCTTAGCATTTGAAGGACCACTTTACTTGACAAGGTAAGACTGTCTAGATGACTTGTAAGCCTCCAAATGTTCGGCCTCTAACTCTAGGTACTTAGCCATATCATTAAAGTTAATGATGTTTTCATTGTGGGTTAAGTTAACCTTCATATTCTCCCAGCTAGTTAGGAGCGATCTGATTACAACCTGTACTTACTATTCCTCAGATCATGCCCGGCTTCTTTAAGTTCACGAATCATATTAGCCATCTCCCTTAAGTGCTGCCGCATAAGAGTATTTGGCTTTAGCTTATAAGTGTCAAACTTAATTATAAGCCTTCTTAGTTTGGTAGTTGAGGTACTACCAATCTTTTCTTTTAAGGCAGCCCATATAGCTTAAACAGTGGAGTGCTTCTCAAATTTACACATCAGATCATTCGCCATAGCACTTATAAGTGTTATTCGTGCAATGCTATTTTTTTATTTTCATGCCGTAAATGCCTCTTAGCCTCTCCTATATTGAGTCGAGTTTCCTACCTTAGGCTCGGCCATGACCACAATCAGTGGCTCAACATCATCTTTTTCTTCCAAAATATATGCCACCTTACGGTGCCATATATCCTAGTTATCCCTGTTTAACTTGTCACCCTTATTCAATTCAGTGATAATGCTTTTTATTGCCATTCTTAATTTTGAGACGAAACTATTCTACATTAATAGTTTTCTATATTAAACCAAGAATAAAATACTTATGAGAAACATATAATGTCTTATATTTGTATTATTATTTATTAGAGTGATAGCAACATTATTAGGTCAACGATCAGGAGGCTACGTTTGTATCTCCCATCACATTGATTCTAACAAAATCACTATCATCTATAAACAATTTACAAATATTTTTATAATCATTATATATATATATAGCTCTTAAATGACTTATCACTTTAGAGCTCCTACTCAAATAAAGTATATATAAAGCAATAAAAAATATCAAAAATATATAACATGCTTCATATATATTATAAATCATCAAGGTCCTAAAATAATATAACATAACTCAACAAAAAAAAATTTAGAAAACAGAAAAATACTTAAGGTATAGACCTAAAAAGACAACTCTTCTCTTTATATTTTTCTTGTACTTTCATCCCCTTGATGGCTCTATTTCATAGCAAATTTCTCAAGTACAACTTGTTTCACTTATTATGTTGCACAAGTTCTTTCTTGAGTTATTTGAAAATTTATCCTATAATTAGGGCTCGTTCTTCTTTTGTTATAAAGCTTGAATATGCTCTTACTATCGAAGAAATTTGATTTGGCTTTTTAATTCTTGTAGCTTCTCTTTTCCCTATATTTATGATCACTAAGGGTGTGGAAGGTTGTTCTACATCTTCATCTTCATCTTGAAGATTCTCATCAGCCTCTGATTCATATTTTGGTTTCGACAGCATGTGCACCCTATAATAATATGGATTTAATATCCACTGCTTTAGGTTCTAACTACTATTTTAAATCAACTAGCCAAAATCCAAACATATAAACAATTTCAATATGCTTCCTAAACACATTTCTTTATCCAAAATATATTAGAATTCTTAAAAACGATTCCTAAATCCATATTATTAGTCTTTAGCTATTGAATATACTTAATTAATCTACTTTGACTCTTCTACTTGTCTTCTCAACACCATAAGTGCATTAACATTCAAACCGCATCATCCATTATTTATATATATTACTCAAGCCTAACAAAAGAAAACCTAAAAATCCTCTTTTTGTTCAATCATGCAGTAGCAATAATGTAGAGAAATTCCAGTTCACTGCATCCAAGATATAGAAGGCAGAAAAATTTAATCCTAAGCCGAACTTCCAACCCAAGTGCAACATTTTAGCCCCAACCACAATTAGCATATCAATAATAAAGAGCAGGGACCACATCAATCAACTGGAAAAAGAAGGGAATGATTCAGCAGTACAGTATAGCCTAAAGAGGAAGGAAAGAAAACAATATCTCACCTCAATAAAGCTTAGTGGCAGGAAGTATAAGTCAGCCATTGAACAGTATTGAAGAAGAAGAAAATAAAGGTTCAAATCTTCATTAAGAAGGAGGAAACTATGATTTCAGCTAGCAATAAAAGGAGTAGCTACCACCTGTACACACATTAAATTTCAACGATAAGGAAGGAAGAAAAGAGAAAAAGACTGACCACCCATACACACCCAAACTCGCCACAAAATAGAGCAAGAAAATAAGGAAGATATACCTCTCCACTGTGACTGATGAACAAAGATTGAGGAGAAAAGGAAGGTGGCAATGAAGATAGCAAACTAATAATAGCCTCCCGTAGACACAAAATAGCACGATATAGTGGGAGAGAATCAGCAACTCAGTTCTATAGTGGCTGGCAGATGAGGATGAAAAGATAAGGTGATATGAAGCAACGACAGCCACAAAAACGGTCTATCAATAGTGAGCTAAGTGTGTTGGTAAGGGTTAGAGAAATGCACTGACTTTAAGGATTTAGAGAAGTGTAGGAAGGCAGTGAGAAAAATGAATCAAAGATACTCTGTTTTTCTTCACATAAAAGAAACGAAATCAGAACATGAGGAGCATAGGAAAAATTATAAAAAGGAGCATGGGAAAATTACAATGAAAGGGACAAGAAAATTACAAAAAAGGATATGAAATTTTTCTATAATTTAAAAGCAAGCTTTTGCTTATAAAAATTTGGATTCTAGATCCTTGCAAAAATTTCTAGCGTAATTTCCTATAATTGCCCCCTTTCTAATTTCTATGAAACTTATTTAAATAAAAATACTCATTAGGGAAAAAAAATTTTGAACTTAAAATTTAGAGTCATTACATATAGGACCAAACTCAGTTCTTAATTCACTGCAAGTGCATAGATGAAAGAGTGAAGCTTTCAAGCAAGAGAGAATATAAGAATGTTTCTTCTTTATATGGGTACTGAACCGAAAGCCAAAACCAATACTATGTTATATCGGCTTCAACTGACCTTCACACTTCTTGTTACACTTGAACGTGGGAGGTTACAAAAACAAAACTGTTCCCTCCAATTAATCAAATTGAATAATAGGAGTATTTGCGTATAAAGGCCTGGAGCATATTATACTTGAGGACCCAGACTCTTTCATATTTACAGTAAAGCCCCATGGGCTTATATATTGGACCAATCCACCTTTTGGTGGATAACCTAACAATTTCATTGCTTTGTTTTAGTTAATTGTTTTCTTTAAATAACAGTTAATTTTTGGAAAAAAATAGCACGATTAATTCTATTCTTCTTTGGTCATGGCTCAAACATTTTAGAATTTTAATTACCTCAAACCTGTGCAATTGCGGGGCTGATCATCAGTCAAACTTCATTTCTATCCAACATCGGGCAAAGCTATCTAGCCTTGAACAACTTCAAATGATGTTGTCACGCCTTGAAAATTTAAATGTGACTAGCATGGGATATAGAAAAAAACATCCATCTCTTAAGACTTGATCAAGAAAACTCTAATATGATATTTTAATGTATTTGAAATAGGATTAGAATTCATTGCAACATTTTTATATAAATAAAAGATTTCCATGCCTTTTTGTAAATTTTTTTGCAAAAACTCCCCCTCTCATAAAGCCTCCCAAAAACAAATCTATAACCATTTTACAAAACAGCAGCAGTAGGTAGGAACTCTATTCCCATCAATAGATAACAAAAATATAAATAATAGAAATGAGGACCCTAACTATAGCTTATGTGAAGCACCTGATATAGGAATTTATTAAAATATAATACATGGATTTAAGTTTATATTAAAAGAAGCTTGATCTACAATCCTTCATCTCAACTGAATATTACAGCTCCTCAATGGTCAATGAAAGGTATGACATCACCTAATGTATCTGAGACCAAAATAATAATTTTCAGTGAATAATGTCTCAACATTAAAATTTGAAGTAATAAGAATGAATAGATTTAAGTAATTGTAAATAATTTTAAGAGAAAAGCTCTTGATATAATGTAATCATCAAACTTGGGGTTCTAAATATTTTAGAAAACCTCAAAAATACTAAACCATTAATTTCATAATAACAAAGTAACTTTATCATTTGATCTTGAGCAATCAATAGATCAAATAAACAAAATATATAAAAAGAGAGACATTTATCAAGTAAAATCAATGAAGTATAAATTTAACAAATAAAATAAAAACTAGTATTCTAAGGACTTTATAGAACAGATAACAAACGTAAACACACAGTTCACGAGGATAAATAATCAAATGCGGCTTATGCTACAAAAACAAACATGGACACATAATCCACAAGGGTAAATAATTAAATGTAGCTTCAGCCATAAAACAAATGTAAACACACATTCCACGGGAGTAAGTAACCAAACATGGCCCGAAGCCATGAAAACAAATGCATGTGTTAGACTTATGAATAACAAATGTAAGAACAGTAGAGCTTAAAAAAATCAAACTAGTTAGTCATTGATTGTGGCACGCCAAAGGCTAACGGAATTGTCGTTAGCAATCAGTGTTTTGTATAAAATCCCCTTTAAATTCATTTTCAAACATGCAAAAAAATCATCACTATTCAAATATAGTTTTTACTCTTAAATCAAACTCGCATGAATAGTTCTTAAGCATCAAAACTTGCAAGAATAAAATTTTATAACTAATTTTCATGCTTGCATTTATTGAATAACCAGAATTACCAAAGTTGATAAAAATGATTCACAAGATAAAGAAAATTCAAATTACAGAGTATCTCATCCTTAACAAAGTTGTTATAAAAATAATCTACATAAAAATGCAATATTTTAGGAAAAAAAATAACTTTATCAGTAAATGAGTTGGGACGTTATCCACTTACCTAACATGTTTTCAAGGTTCAAAATTCACTTCTCACCACTTCAACCAAGGTTTCCTTCCTCTAAACACCCTATTCAATATAAAAGAAGATTTAATGGCCTTTACTTAAGTTAAATAAACTATCTTCCAACATTGACAAGCACAATAGTTAACCAAGTTCCAAATCATTATATAATTTAAGTCTCCATCTGTCCAATTCCTTTAACATTATTTCTCATTATATTTTTCCTTGTCTTTCCAACACCTCTCTAATACATAACTAAACTCTAATCAAGAGTGTATGAGTTTGTTTATATACACACATATACTGAACTTAATTACTCTATCAATTCATAATTTTTCTATCATCCATTTTATCGAACATCTTGGTTACATCCCGAAACCAAGTCACAAAACAATACCTTGGTTTATAAATTATCAACCATAAAGTTCTCAAAATTCAATTGGTTTCACTTAACTTCATAAACATCAATTTCTTTGCAATACTCAAGTTAAATTCACAAATAAATAGTATTCAAGTCACACATGCCTCTTAGAAGAATTAATGAAATTTTAGCCAATACATAATCAAGCAAAAATCCTACTAGAAGACATTTTATCAAACACCTTGTAGGCACCAATCTTTCAATTTTAATTCTAAGCTCTCATCTTCAAATCTCATCCCAAAAATTTAAAAAAAAAATTCACTATCGATATTTGAATTAATCCAACTTCCCAACTTCATTCCCTAACCAATTTTTTTTATTTGTTTTTCCTTTTTTAAACTCAAAGAGAACTAAATCCATCCATCTTTATCAGGCTAAAATCGAACAGCTATCACAAGAATATAAAAATATGTTCTACTATATTTCAATCCTAGGTTTACTTAAGTTCCACCCAACACAAACAGATAAAAGGCACAAGAAGAAAAGAGAAATTTAAAGTGCATCACCTCTAGAAATGAACAGCCGAGCAAGACCAAGAAGTTGACTGACCAAAAATGAAAAAAAAAAAAAAAAAAAATTCAATGTACCCACACCCACTCGCACAAACTCGACGGCAATACTGAACCTGGAAGAAGAGGCCATCGAACGAGCAGAAGTTGACCAGGGGAGGGAGAACAAACAGCTATCGAAGTACCCTTAGCTGCCGACTGCGATGCGTCGGAGGTATGAGGCTGAGGACTGTGACCACAAGATAGAGAAGGATGAAGAGAATCGAAACTCAGAGCCCACACACATACTCAGGACGACATCCCAACCAGGGGAGAGGAGAAAGATGAGCAACGGCGCACAAGGAAGAAGAACTCGCAATAGAATTTTAAGGCGGTGGCGGACGAAGCTGACGCACCTCCCACGGCGAGATGACTAGCGGAGGAGGAAAGGATCGAGAACGAAGGGCATGAATGAATTCCCTCTCTCTCTCTACCCCCAAGTCTAGAGAAATCGAAAGGAAAGGGAAAAATCCGAGCAGAGGAGTAACGTGCTTCCTGTTTCTAATTTCCCTCTTATTGCATTTAATAAGTTTTTCTTTTTAAAATACCGGGAGGGCATTATAGTAATTTCAGCAAAACTAAGGTAAAATAAAATAAAACAAAATAAAATAAATCCCTATCTCACACCACTATGAGAATTCAAACTCGAACTTAAACATCCAATGGTAAATACTACTAAGACACTATTCTTTCTTATTAAACCTACTCCAGAATTTAATAAAAATGCAATCAAAATACTTAATTATAAATTTTAATTTTATTTAAATTTCCGGGTTATTACAAATGCACCCCAGCCGATCTGGCTTGAAATGATCCTGTTTGAGGCTTCCCCAAGTTTCATTCACGATTGGATATCCTTTACCTCTCAGACCTTTATTATTCACCTATTTTATGCAGTCTCCCACCTAATTATACTATATAATTAACCTCAATGTAATCCTGGTGATTTCCTAGTAAATTCCAAGTCCTTGAAATAGAAATCAGGATGCTACGGGATACCTATATATCCAAACATCTATATTACATGTCAAAATGAATTTTTTTGCGGCCAAACATGTCAAAATAAATTATGTATTCAAAACTAAGATTTTCTTTTTAAATCCAAACACCCCTGGATATTTTTCAAGAAAACCATGATTTTGAATTTGTAATTAATTTTAGCATGTAATAGGGGTGTTTTGATATATTTTGACAAAATTATTGTTTTACTTGATTTTCAATTATACTTTGCAAGTATACTCAAAATCAATTTTATAAATTAATTTTACAAATCAATTAATAACCACATAACTCAGTTTTTCAACTCAAATTCTTACACACTCGTTTTGTCATTTTCCACAGGAGGCAAGTGTTGAGTTTTTTTTTTTTTGCCCAAAAAAAAACAGGGTCATTTTATTAATCACGAAGAAAAAAACATGGCCAATAGGTGAATCCGACAAGAAAAACGACACAAAGCAAAAGTAAAAATAAATAAATAAATAACAGCCCCCAATACAACTTACTAAAGAAGTAAACAAAACAACAAAACAACAAAACAGCCAAAACACAGTGAATACAACAAAGCTTTACCTAATACCTCTATTATCAAACTTCGTGGCAGCTTCTCCATGTACTTGCGCTTCGTCCATCCTCAAAATCAAAGCAAGAGGGGTTGTATTACGAGTTGGAGATAAGACAAATTGGGAAATATTCTACTATCATTATCAAAAGAAAAGTCTCTTGCCTTCGCCTTAATTTATTAAAAAAAAACAAGAAAAACAAAAACCATTTGCACACAAAGCATTGGTGTTCTTGTATCTTCGCTTCATCATTCTCTTACAATCAAAAGAGCATTTAAATGTAGAGTCACGTCCATTTGCGCAATAACAACGAAGGAAAAAAAAATAGTACTTTTATGTATAAAAGATGTCCGTCAAATCATCAATAAAAGTATTCATTTATCATTTTCATATTTTGGCAGTATTTTCCAGTCGTTCTCCGAAAAATAAAATAGGAAATGATAAATATCACTCTTAACACTTTAATTTACATTTCTTTTTTAAATAGACAATTTCTTTTCTTGGGCATGAGACAATCTTGGAAAAATCATATGAATATACTACAATTTTTCTATAAAAAAAATTAACAAAAAAAAATGGAGTCGTCCTGCCGTCAACGGTGATCAAAGTATAATTATTTAATTATTATTTCTATAGAAAGCATATTTCTTTAGGACTTGTATTGAAGTTTTTGTCTACCTTAGCATCCACAAACGGACAACCAGGTTGACGTCCTCGTCGAGGCTTGGCCCATAGAGGAAGGAAATAAACAAAACTGGAGCAAGTAGCCTGAGGTGGTTAGCCGTTGCTTACCAGTTGAGCAAGTTTGAGGTGGTTAGCCGTTTATCTTTATTATCGAGGTTGTACATCAATCACTATATTGAAACTAATGACACTCCCAAGCTTTAGTGCAAGCCTGAAAAATTCTTACATGAGCTAGAAGTATCACCACTACAATATTCTGTCCAATAAAATTGCATTTGTTCAATCAATAAATAAAATCTTATCTGTTATTATGTATAGTAATTTTACGTTTGAAATAGAGTGCTTATTTGATTTCTTGTCTTTTCTCTTTCTACCATTATTAATGACATAATCAATTTATATTCACAACCATATAACATGACATGTTTTTATTAGATAGTATACAATGATGCGGTATACTAAGACCACGAAAGAATTTCTTGACAAGCCCTTTCTTCACGAAGTCAGATCTATCTCCTATGGGCAAGTTGCTCCACTTGCTCCAGTTTTGTTTGTTTGTTTTTGTTTTTGTTTTTTTCCTTGCCTTCCTCTACATATGGGCAAGTTGCGTATTCAAATTTCCGAATGTGTGTGTGTGTGTGTGTACAGGGCTAGCAATAGGTTCAATTTTGCTGTGCAAAATGGCTTCTACTCCAGTAGGAAAAGGGATGAACTTGTTCAAATATTTTAGGTTTAACAAAGACACAGACACAACCCAAGATACTCGAACCATCCTTCTCACCATTTTCGCTTTCATTGCTGCAGCAACATTTACAGCTGGAGTGAATCCTCCTTGCGGTGTTTGGCAAGAAGATCATGGACCCAGTGACCATGATCGACACAAATTTGGTGGTTCGGAAAATATTTAGTCTTCTGAGAATACCCTTTATTATATTTGATTGTTTTATCCATCGCTTTGGCTTCCTCGAACCATGCATGCGTCATTCTCACAGTTTCATTTTGATTATTGCTGCAGAAAAAAAAAAATCAAGGTACCGGATTAGGTCCCAGCGGTAGAAAAGCAGGCTTAGCAATAATGTTTGAATTTGTTTGTGGTGCAATAATGTTCTCCGACATTTAGAAACGGTACAATATTGCCTTAATTGTTAATAAATGTTAACTTTGACTATTTATTAGGTAACCATAAATGAATAGCAATATCATAATCGATACAGAACCTCAATAATAAATATCAAGGCTAGTCACCTCAGACTGGTAAGAACGGGGTGAGCGTGGATAGAGATTAAGGATTTCTAATCCTTCCAATATATTAAAAAAGAAAGAGGGGGGGGGGGAACAGACTTTCTGTCCCTCTATATACCCTTATATTGAGAGAGAGACTCGATGGTAAAGTAAGTTAATTAATTATGACTTATATGTGAGTTAATTAATTATGACTTGTATTTACTTTTTGTAAATGTCTAGCCACTAAAATAACCTGCCTCAAATAGAATAAGCCCATATTAAGATTCAGGCCATCCATCACACCTTGATTATTGGGCGAGAAGATGAGCCATTGTGGCAACAATGGTGGTTGTAATGGAGTATATAGATGCCAGCAGTCAGCATGTAGTCTCTTTCAATCAATTGCTGAGCTTGCTTATCTAATCAATATGTGATGTCAAGACTATTAAGAAGCACAAGAAGATTGGGCCTAGGGTTGCCAAATGCAGCCCACACTAGTTGGCGAATTATGTCTCTATTCATTCATTATTTCCTCTGTACAGCTGGCTGACTAGGGTTTGTAATTGCTTCCTATAAGGAATGAATAATCCCAGGCTTAGCACGCCTCCTTTCATTTCATCATCTTTCCATTTCCATATAATCTTGTCTTGTGACAATATAGCCTTAACGCAGCTCAGAATTGATCTAAAATCTGGAGCTTTGATCATAGGATTATGGAAAAGAGAGGGCAGTGAAGGGAGAGTTGAAGGTTGTAAAAATAAAGATGGAAGTCCCACTGGCCACATCATCTTGGGGAAGAAGACTGTATAAAGGAGGTGGTTGATTCTTTATTTGATTTAGGGGTTAATAGTCAGACCGTGGCCAAATTAAGATCGAACTAGTTATAATAGTTAAGCTAAATTAAAAAGTTCAAGCTTTAAAAAAAAACAAATAAATAATATGAAGTACAAAGATAAAAAAAATATGTTTGCATTTAAAAAATAGCTTTTCCAGACATAAGTTAAAAAGAAAAAATCAACAAACATCATTGAAAAATAGTAAAAATGAGAGGAAGGCATGTACTAGGTGCAAACTGAATTTCATGCATGGACGATGTTCTGCGTATGGTTCTTTTGTTGAAATGGTACCTTTGATTGGATTCAATGGGTGAGATCAGTGATGAATTTAAAAAAAAATTCACCCAAAAAAAAATGCCCACAGTTATTGATGATCTTGTTTTACATAATGATGTTTGCCTCCGATAGTATGAGACCTCTTGAGATGTTTTGTTCTAATTTAAAAAAATAGATTCGCAAAGACGAAGGTTTGGAAGCAAAATGTAAAATGGCAGATGAAGAATAATTAAAAAAACCAGGGTTATCAAAACCAAAACGGACCAGCCAATTTGATTGGTCCGATCAAGAACTCACCTACGATGGAGTCCGGTCAACCTTTATAACTTGACTGGTTCCCCCCCCCCCTTTCCTTGTTTGCTTTTGTTTTGTCTTTTTAATACAGAAGCAAGTGTTACGAGTTTGGAGATAAGTGAAATTGGGAAATATCCAACTATCACTATCAAAAGAAAAGTCTCCTACCTTACCTAAATTAAAAAAAAGAAGAAGAAGAAGAAGAAAGGGAACACCATTTGCACACAAAGTCTTGGTGTTGTGCCTTCACTCTTCACCATACACGTGCAATCAATGAAGATAATTTAAATGTAGAGTCACGTCCGTTCTCTTCTCTACGATTTGAGTTTTAACCTGCCTCCCCAGTAGGTTTTCTAATACGCAATGAAAACGAAGGAAATGAAATAAACCATGTATACTTTAAGGAGAATTTTAGGGATGTGGCTTAATTATTAATGAATCTCAAAATTATAAAACTTTAGTTCAATCCAAAAGGATAAAAGTAAAAATAATTTCAATTGTGAAAAATTAAAGTGCAAAATCACTAATTATTAATTTTCTTACTTCATTTGTTAGTTTACAAATATGAGTTGCGAATTATATTAATTAACATGTTAATAATTATATAGGACTTAA